CCATATCTGCTGTTTGGCTTCATCACTCTGTCTCCTCTCCACCAATAAGCTGGTGTGTGGAGGGCGTTCTGGCGCAATATGGCTGCCGTCGCATCATCCAGGTGGATGCTGCACATTGGTGGTGATTGAGGAGATTCCCCCTTCTATGTAAAGCGCTTCGAGTGCCCAGAAAAGCGCTATATAAATGTAAGGAATTATTATTAATAATTTATTAACATTAAATGTAGTCTTTAGCGAATCTCAAAGTTAATATCCATTTTTGTTTTGTAAGTTTGTAAAGTTTTGAAATCTAAATTCATTTGTAGCATTTAAATGGACTGATTTCAGTTTTTAGTGTTTTATTGTTTGTTTATTTAGACGAAATTGAAAAGAAACTGTAGTATTTGTCTCCGCATTGGACATGCAATCCTTCAGGCTCTGCATAGTGTGTGTGTGTTTCCTGATGTGTGTTTTGGTGAGATGATGTCCATGCGTTATTTATCTTTAGTAATACTCCCCAGCGATCTCCTCTCTCCAGAGATTTATCTGGGATGGTGAGACCTCCCGCCTCAGGCACTCTGACTTAATCAAACTTCAGCGGCTCAGCGATTAGACGTTCCTTTCAGGAGCTTCTCTTGGCTTGGGAGAAACTCAGTTTGTGCACATTTCCTCGTGGTTTGCATGGATTTGGTTTGTGTCTTTAAATAGATGCTAAGGAGAAGCCAAAAATGAGCATTTGCAGGGAAAGCTATAGCTAAACATATGCTGTATTATTCGAGGGTGACTTAAATAAGCAGCAATACTTGAGTACAGAGCTGTAAATGTTTAGAAGTAAGACCAAGCCAAGCTAGAGTAATAAAGTGTCTCTCTACAGTTAATCGAAGCACATAGATGCTGGAACGCTGCCTATGGCTCACTCAGATTTGTTTTGTCGTAAAAGTTTCCAGCATATTTTTTCCCCTACTTTTTTTCACTTAAGTTGTTTTTCTTTGGTTCTATTCAGTGCGCTCCTGGCTAGAGTAATGTAAAATGTATCAGCATCATGGACACAAAATATGAGTTTTTTTTAGAGAAGTTGTTGTAAAAAAAAAATACAGGATGGATGGTTTAGCTGTTAGCCCTTTCCTCCCCGATAGCCTCGGCGTGAACTCTGAGGAGCGAAGGGTGATCAGCTGGCCAGGGTTCTTATCAGGGTTTGCGCTTTAAAAGCCTTTGAGGAATGTTGGCAGAACGCCACCCGTATTCTGCTCGCTGCAGACCGTGGGTTTACAAGGACTGTGCTTGGAGAAACATTCTTGTGTTGAAATGCTGATCTACACTCTAAAAAATGCTGGGTTAAATACAACCCAGTGCTGGGTAAAATAGGGACAAACCCAGCAATTGGGCTGTTTTGACCCAGCGGTTGGGTTAAATGTTTAACCCAACCTTCTGGTTAGTAACCCAACCGCTGGGTCAAAACAACCCAATTGCTGGGTTTGTCCCTATTTTACCCAGCACTGGGTTGTATTTAACCCAGCATTTTTTAGAGTGTAGGATCAGGTTTCCTGGTCCTCTGCACTAGTTGAACTGTAAAGATTTTTTTTTTTGCATTGATCCAGACAAGGTGTACTTTGTGGTGTTTGCTCTGAAGTTGCGAAGTCCATTGCGCTTAAATTTATGATGCTTTAAATAGGGCTGTACGATAAATCGCATGTGATATTTAATGTGCATCTTGTCAGTAAAGCCAGTTCTGTAATCAGCGGTAAATCTCCATCACATGGGTGCTTTCACATGGAGCAGCATTTACTACACAGAGCCGTTGTTCACTGACAAGCTGCGCAAAACCACGTTCATATATGATCTGCGCGATTTATCATGCAGCCCTAGCTTTAAAAGCAGCTAATGAAGACTAAATGTAAACAGGATGCTAAAGAAATAGTTCGCTCAACAATGAAGGTTCTATAATTTTTAATCACCCTCATGTGGTTCCAAAACCATATGCCAAACAAAATTTATGAAGGCTGTTTCATAGTGACCTCCTCCAAAAATGGAGAAAATAGCACCATAAAAGACCATACAACATGTGAATTATGTTTCAGGTCTTTTGAAGTCACAAAGCCCGCAAAATTTTAAAATCCCTGGTAGCGATTCGGGCAGGCATTCTTCAGATTTTGGTAGCCCAAAATAAATGTAACTAGCCCGAATAAAAAAAGACTTCGGCTGAACTTCACTGCGGACAAATCACCATGATCAAAAATTCAAGTGATTGTATTTTTCTTCATAAAACGAGAGTAGGGTGTGCAACAGGTGACAAAACTTAAGGCTCGGATCATATTGCAGATTTTGAGTGACGGATTGGATCATTTTTTGGATGAGAAAAAGAAAAAAGGTTCTTTATTATTTAAATAACATATTATTTAAAGAACACTTTACTTCAATACCACAGCAAAACTAGTAGCATACAAGGATGGAACGATTCACTCAACTCACAGTGCGATACAATTCATGATACTGATTTCACAATACAATTTTCTCACAATTTTTTTTTTTATTTAAGACATGAGATTTAAGACAAATTATAAATGAAAAGGTGTGCTTTTATTATTTCCGAGACCAAATGCTGCATATTTCTTTGTGAAATTGAAATATGTCAAATAATAAAAACTAACTTGAAATTTTAAAGCAAATCCCAAATCAAACAAATAAATACAAATGAAAGACATATCTTCATATAAACAAAAGATTTGCCTGTGCTCTTTACATTTAAAAGGAGAGGCAACCACTGCATTATAATTGCACTTGAGATTTCTTTCTCCACTGTTTACATTCAGTTAAGACATAACCGACTGTGTTTACAAGAATACCTGCAGAGATGGTTATTTTGAGAGAATTTTGTGTGTATGTGTCCATTCAGTTGCAAGGATACGCAAAAGAGGAATCAATTCTGTGTTCGCGTGCTGTCTGAAACACGGGAAACAGTGTGCGAGTACCGAATTGAATTATCTTAAGCCTCTTCAAGTGCTTGAATGGTTTAAAATGCTTGAATGTTTAAGTCGGCAAGACTTAGAAACACGTGTAAATGACGTTGGTCATACAAAAGATTTGTGTGAAAATTTACATTGTTTAGTAATAATCTTCAATAATCGCTTCCAGTGATTTGTTAACCACAATGAGTGAATTGAACTACAGAGCAGGATCAGTCATATTCCTGAATTAATTGTTTTGTTCAATTTATGGAAAGGATGAACCGGTTCAGAGGAAAAAGCTAGCTCTAAAGAATAATTTATGAACTAGATTGAACCGGTTCTTGAATCTAACTCAGTGATTCGGTTCCAGTGAATTATGGACTTTGTAAAAATGTCAGTCTGTTCCTCACAAAATGACTTGAAGACTTTTTATCCTTTTTTAAGCTTAATATACTGGTCACTATAAAGACCTGTATGAAGATTCTTCAAAAATATCTCAAATGTTTTATGTTCCACCGATAGAAGTAAACAGCATATGGGTTTGGAGCAGCATGAGAGTGAGTAAATAATGGCAGAATTTTCATTTTTGAGCGAACTATCTATTTAAATGCCAGATTTGATCTTGGCTTTTCCACACTGAGCTTTGGATTTCACCCAAATCCAGTCTTTTGCTTTGAGAAGCTTTGAGAGTACAAGCAGAGACGATTTCTGTCCGGCACTGACCAGGTGATTCTGGTCTTCTGGCTGTCATTTTAAATCGAACAACAAGTGATAAAATGCTTTCTAAATACTTAATGTTTGTATAATTGCCACTTTTACAAACTCAGGCTGTTCATTATTACTTGAGCTATATGAAAGCCATTTAACAAATGCAGGTATAGTGCTGTAGAATTCGCCGAATTAAGAGGCCGCTCTACATGAGCATAACTAATTCACATTGCCCTGGAGGGGATTTGCAATATTAAACATGGCTGTTATTGGATCGATTTTTCTTTTTTGTAATTCATATTGCTGTCTGGTGACACAGGCAGTTGGAGTACTGCATTTCCTGTGTCTGCAGCCTGTCTTTATGCAAAGCAAAATGGGGCAAAAGACAGATAAAGAGTAAGGAGCATAGAGCGAAAGAGAGACTGACATGGAGGGAGATAAACAGAGACAGACGGACTGACCAAGAGAATAAGGAAATGCAGCGGAGACGAGACAGGCAGTAAGATTTGTGGAGACTCGGGTGCTGTCAGTAAGGAGCTGGCTTGAGCTAGTGTCTCATTCTCACACAGCAGATTGGAAGAGCAGATTGCGCTCTGAGATGCCCTGAGATTTGGGCAGCTTCCGATGGGGGATTTGTAGAGATTTGGTTAGAAATCTGCCCATAATGAATGTTAAGTGAAAAGCGCCTCCTTCATCTTCTCAGCAAAGATATTGTTTTCTCTGAGCGCTTGTTCTGTTAGTTTTGGCTCGGTGTCTAAGTGTCACAGTCCTGAGATGACAGTCTATAGCTTCATTAACTGGTATGTGCAGATCACACAAACAGACGTTTTATGAATGAAAAGGCCTCATTTGTTTGTCTGTGGAGACAATAGATGAGAACATGTTCTTCAGATGTAACAGAAACTTTGGTGGGAGTTTTTGTTTTTTTCTATGGCTGTCACGTTTTGTTAAAGTTTTGGCCACTTTTGTGTCCCACTTTTGTGTATTAATCATAGTATTTGTTTTGATAAATTAATGCTTTTTATTCAGCAAGAATGCATTAAATGCATCAAAAGTGACAGTGATTTAAGTATAGTAAGTAACATTTATAATGTTACAAATGATCTCTATTTCCAATAAATGCTGTTGTTTTGAACTTTCGATCCATCAAAGAATCTTGGAAAAAAAGTTTAATGATTTTCAGAAAAATATTAGCACAACCTTTTTTACCATTGATAATAATAAGAAATGTTTCTTGAGCACCAAATCAGCGTTTATCAGAACGTGCATTTTAAGAGTCTGTGTGTGTTTTCTTTTTTCATTGAAACTCCAAAATTGAGCAGTTATGGGCAACTCAAAAGTTTTATCAATTTTTGTCTTTGTTCTTAGGTCGGTTGTGGAATGTCACAACTTTCTTAAGCGATCCAGCACTTTACCCTCAGTTTAATCACCTGACTGCAGTCCTGCTGTCTGATTGGATCATCTTTTGAGGTAAGAACCTATGGGAAGAAGTTTGTTGATTTGGTGAAAGTCACTTGAACTGTTGTCACTGTTGTCAATGTCATTCCTACGCATTTGCACTTATGAAATTGCACTGTCGATTGATGCTCTAATGCAACTAATGCAATCTACAGCAATGACAATAAATTATTATTTGCACTTATGAAATTGCACTGTCGATTGATGCTCTAATGCAATTTCGTTGTTCTACAGCAATGACAATAAATTATTATATTATTATTATTATTGAACGATAGATTCCGTTTTCTCCTCACATCCTGCTCTTTTGTTGAAATTTGCTTGGTGAAGTATAAGTTGAGCCCCTCTGAAGGACAATGACTTGATTTGACAGAAAATTGAAATATCATCCAACTTCATTATTTTGGCTGGACTATTCACCCGAGGCCGTCACATGGGAGGACAACGTCTGTCAATTTTTAGAAGAATACAAATATAATTTAAAAGAAACATCTGACAATCTGTCAGACAATCTGTTTAAATGAAGTCTCACGGCGAGCAGGCGACAAACGTTAGAAAAGTATCACAGTTGGACAGGGTAACAGGGAGGTGGGCAGATTTTCAAACAAATCGGAAAAGAGAAACAAGCAGACGACTGAATCGGAGAGAGATCACTTAAGAGAAGACAAAACAGATGAGACAGGAGACTTGACATGAAGAGTGGGAAAAAATCTGCTGGAAACACGCATGCATCACAGCGCACCTGTGCAAGGCCCTTTTACTCATGCCCCCTGTCTACCAAGATATCCCTTTGAGATCAAGACACATCCCACAACACTGGGCGCAGGGCTGGTGGTGACAGGCTCTGTCGGTCGGCTGCGGGGAGCAGATGGCTGGCCAGATGCAGGGTTGCATTTGACCTTGGGCCCTGTGGAAGGCTAAACATCATAGGCATCCTCCGGCGCTTCTACCTTTCTGCCGCTCCATGGAGCCGCTGCTCCGCTCTGACAGCTTATGGTTGTTTTATTTAGATGAGCCATATGGAGGCATTATGTGCTCCATCGTTTAGCTGCTATCGCTATTCCCAGTGTAGTTTATCACCCATTGTGTATTCAAACAAAGACAAGTTCAAGTCCCCCAGACTGTCCGTGACAGTTGAGATACGCCATAAAATATGACTAATCGCATTCAGCTCTGCTCGGACAGAAAGGGGTGGCAGAATTATAATTGGGTTCAGCTGATGCAGACTTGATGGAAGGGATCTTTAGTAAGTCAGCAACAGCTTCATTTATAAGCACGTATGCCAGCTGCCATGCAATAGTTTACCCAGAATTATTCTCTCACTAAGGTCATTGCAGTGTTTCCTTCAGGGGAGCATCCGTTTCCTAATGGCTTGATGGCTTTTAGCACACTGTTACCAAGTGCAATGTCTACTGATTTATTACATTTTTTTTCATGTAAACACTTGTGGTCACAGATATGTGCCCTGTTAATGGTTCCAAGTACCCAGTCTCTTTCAGTCTCTCAGTTTTCCTCAATAACTCATTGAACCATTCATTCAGATTTTCACTTTCATTTCACAATAAGGAGTGGCGTTGACATCGTAAGAGATGCTGATAGATGTTTTTGGAACTCAGTACAGATGTTGAGGCCACGTTGTGCTCCTCCACTTTTGAATCTTCATTCATGTTCATCAAAGTACAATTTACTCTCCAATCTCAGAAGATAGCTGTTCAAACACTTGGTGATACAAAAGACAGAAGTGAGCTTATTTTCTTCATTTTTTGAGTTTTGAATCAAATAATTTGATGGCTTTCCGGCAGGCTCAAAAACAAGCATTCATTGTAACCTCAAGCCTACCTGACAATTGGAATAATCTTAAATGTCAATTCTGGCTCCACGTCATTTTTCCAAAAAAAAAAAAAAAATCTTCCTCTCATAAGAGGTTTATTTAAGATTCAAAAATAGTAAAAAGGGAGCAAAAAAAAATCTTCCTCTCATAAGAGGTTTATTTAACTACAGGGCAGCTCTCATGGTTTATCACTCTCATTAATGTCAGCACCTGCTGTAGCGGGGCTCTGTCTGTCTGCCCGCAGGCCCTGCAGCTGTGCACTGAGCTCAGGCAAACTGCCCATCAGTTCTGCTCCCTCCACCCTTCCACTCCACCAATAAGCATTTGGCTGAGATAGTTGTTAAAACCTTGCTAGAATCAGGTGCACTTGCTCTGTTGATTGTAAATGTGTGTTTATCATAAGTATGCACATTCCGGATACATTGGCATGAAAAATTATTAGCCTGATTTTTCACATAATTTCTACCTGAATTTATTTATGTATTCACAGTAAAAATATAGGCAAAGGAAACATGGAAAAAACATAATTTTTGTCATTAGGTGGTTTATTTAAAGGGACAGCCCAAAAATCTGTCATCATTTTCTAACTCTCATGCCGTTCGAAATATGTATGGCTGACTGGCTTCTGTGGAACACAAAGTTTTGATTCCCATTGACTTCCATTGTGTTTTCTGTCCTTACAGTTGAAGTCAATAGGAACCAAAACTGTTTAGTTACTAACATTCTTCAAAATATCATCTTCTTTGTTCCACAGAAGTCAGTCATAATAGTTTAGATGGACATGAGGATGAGTAAATTATTTTTTAATAATAATAAAAAAGTAATAAATTACCCATGTCGTCGCTGTGCAAAAGTAATTGCCCCCTTAGTCTTTGAAATTAAATTAGAGTCAGAGACTCTTAGTTGTGAATATTCCCAAAAGTGGTAAGAATTTCTCAAAGGGCACAGTGGCACCTCATCTGGAAAGCTTCAAAAGATCACAGAAAAACTTTCAAAGAACTACAGGTAGGGCTGTAAATCCTGAAAATCGCATTAGATTTTTTGCACAGCCCTAACTACAGGTTTCTCTCGCATCGGCTAAGGTCATGGTTTATGACTCCGCAATAGGAAAGGGACTGTGAAAAATAGACTTATGGAAGAGTAGCCAGGTGAAAAATTCAGCTCACCAAGAAAAACATCAAAGCTCACATCATGTTTGTTAAAAAGCATGTGATTATCCCAAGACCTTGGTTTATTCTATGGTCAGATGAGTGAAAATGTAAATAGCGAATGCAGCATTGAACTGGCTTTGTGGTTGACTTGGTATGTTTTTCTGTCTGTGGTGGCCTCTGTGACGTGGATTCACTCATATACTAGAGATTGTCGGAGCATCTGAGCATGGCTTGAAGCTAAAGTGAAATTGTGTGGTACAGCAGGACAATAATCCAAAACAAAGTCAAGTTGACATCTGAAAGACTGAAAAGAAATGGGCTCATATCAAATTACAGGTGCTGTTTGATTGCCGTTATTATTATTTAATGTTGTCTAGTCAGATATTAGATTTAAGGAGGCATTCTTTTTCCTCAGGGGTGGTGAGAGTCTGTGTTAGCCAATTTCACTTAATTAAATTTTCACTTCGGTTCCCTTTGAGCAGTATGTTATTTTGTTTGAAATGTTGCAACCATTTTGTTCTCCAAATAGACAATTGCTAAGGGGGCAAAAAAAAGGGGGCACTGTAAGTCAGTAATAAAATTGAAATTTGTAAATTCTGCAAACAGAATATTCTTTTCTAAACTTTATAAGAAGCTCATTGAGTTTTCAGATTGAGTTTATTCCTGTTTTGGTGTGCAGAACTGAATATGGCATTAAAGGGTCATGAAACCCCCCGTTTCAGCACTGGTTAGTTCTCTCCACAGTTTTAAGAAATGCTAAAAAAGTGGGCGTGGTGCGCTGCGCCACGTGAGTTACACTCACTAACTGAATGAATCGCGCTTGTGCCGAACTCTTTTTACAAAGCAAAAACAAACTCTCCTTCGATCCATGAACGTTTCTCTCAGTTAATGTATGCGATCTCACAGTCTAAAGCGTCTGTCATAGCAAATCAACACATGCTGTTGTGAATAATTAAGCGAAGCGTCTTCTCATAGGATAAGAACACGCGGTCTCATGAATAATTTAATAGACACCAACGCGTCATCGATGTACTATAGTCCTTTGCCACGTCACAAATAGTGACGTCAACACGATGTAGATTTTAAACCCGGAAGTTGAAAGTAATGCAAAAAAGCTTAAAATTAACCAGTTTTCTCCGATCGGATGCTAACATTGTCTTCTATGATGTGCAACACAAACACCTTTGCTAAAATCTCAGAAAAAGTAGTCTGGGGTTTCATGACCCTTTAAAAGAACAAGCAGAGTAGCAGGAGGAAGAGAAAAGGGGAGTCATGGACCAAAGCAGCGTTCCCCCTCCTTCTGTTCTTTTTCACAAATTGGTTTCTTAGGACCCGGTGCCGCATTACACTTTGTTTGTGCATTGTGTGTGTTTTCTGCTGCATTTAGTTTGTCTGTTAATCCATCAGCGCTGGCTAGGGCTGGACGATATGGCCAAAATTGATATCACGATATATTTCTTAATTTCGGTCGATACGATATAATTCCGATATCGATATGACCACTATTTATCTGAAATGGAAATCTTTTGTAACATTATAAATGTCTTTATCATCACTTTTGATCAATTTTAAGCATCCTTGCTAAATAAAAGTATTAATTTCTTTCCCAAAAAAATAATAAAAATTATACTGAGATATTGAATTATTGTCCAGCCCTAGCGCTGGCGTTGGGGAAAAAGCTTGGACATTTGGAGCCAGGAAGCACCTCCTGGCTCATCTTTGTCCCTTAATCCTGAGAGCAGCCATGCTGGTGAGATTGCAGACCCCTCAGAGTCTCTCCTTCTGGAAACGTCAAAGTCAGGCATTGGCGATTTGGAAGACAGGGAGGCGAAGTCTGCAGGGAGCCTTCATGCAGGTCAGCCCAAATCTTTAGCTGAGAGCCCCTGGTTCAGTGCAGGTGGATCTGTGGCCTGTGCTGAAGGAGGGAGAGGTGCTGTTAGGCAGATGGAGAGGGATTAACCTGCTCTACCACCACCACCACCCATCTTTGAATTATGAATGTCCCCTCTCTCTTTATGTCTGTCAGCACAAGGCAGGACTTTGAAACACAACCCTCTTGCACCCCTCTATGCAGTTGTGTGTCATAAAATACATTTTACTGTTTCTGTGAGAGTCAGAAGTAATTTCTTTCTTGTATACTTTCTATTATAGGTGGAGGGCGAACCAACTGTAGGCTAAAGCTGTGAAAATCCAGAAAGTGTAGGTGATATTTTTTACTAGATCACATTTTTTGAAATCATACAGTTTTGTGAGAATGTCTTGAATTAAGTGTATTTTTCTTATCACTCTGGCAAATAATTCTTTCTCGTTTTAAATATAAACTTCACAAAATGTTGTTACATTTTCAAGAAATTATTTAGGCTATAACTATAACAAAATTTGTATATTATTATTATTATTATTATTATGTTTTTATTAATATGTAATGTAATGTTTTTTATTATTGTTGTTGTTGTTTTTATGCATTATTATTATTATTTAATTATATCTTATTACACGGCTCTGTGGAATACTTGATTCTGATTGGTCAGTCGCGACATTCCGAGGTATGATATCCCTCAATAACAACCGGTAAATCTAATAACACAGGCTCATCCGGGTAACAGCAGTCGGCGCTGTACTCTTGCTTGAACTATTTTTTCTTGGTGGAAGCTTTGCGTTTGTTTAGCTAATAAAATATTAAAACTCGATTCAAAATGGTGTACAATTATTTAATTATGTCATCCTGGTATCACGGACTCGCTCTCGTTTCATACAAACGCAGCTGCTGCCATTTTGCTACAATTGTTTTGTACGCTGTAATGGATTATAAGAGAACTAACAAACTGGTAAGGTTTTAAAACATTTTCGTCTTAATTCTTTTATTGCCTTAATTATTTTTGTGGTGAAATGTTGTGTAATAAGTGGTTTGACTGCACTGTTTCCCTTAAATGTCCGTCTAGTTTGAATTTGCCGCTTGCTCGCAACTGCTGTCTTCATGGAAGCTTTGCGTTCAAATATTTCAACAATCAACTCAAATCAATATTTTGCGTCTAATTATTTACTTATGTGGCAAGTAGCTTCCGCTTCGCGTCGGGGTCCTGATTACCCTGTAGGGGTTTATTCTGAGATAACAACCGGCTGGATGTACATTATCCCGCTTATTACATGTTATATATAATATGTTATACTACCCTTTAAAAGTTGGGTCGGTCAGATTTTTTTTAAAAGTAGACTCTTATGTTCACCAAAGCTGCATTTATTTGGTAAAAAATACAGTAAAAACAGCAGTGTTGTGAAATATTAAAATAATGATTTTCTATGTAATTTATTCTTGTGATGGTAAAGCTGAATTTTCAGCAGCCTTTACTCCAGTCGTCTGTGACGCATGGTCCTGCAGAAATCATTCTAATACTCTGATTTGGTGCTCAAAAAAGATTCTTATTATTATCGATGTTGAAAATATTGATTAATAGTGTTTTATGTTTTATTATGTTATGTTATACTGACACTGATTCACTGGATCATGCGTGAAATCCCCTTGGTTTGTTTATTTTTAGAATAACCTTCTTGTTCCGCCTGAGGTAATATATGATAAAACAACTCATTTTATCAAACTGTAACTCTGTTACTCTTGTGTAACCAAGAACTTGTTCACCTTTAATAGTGGCCAAAAAGAAAGTTAGTTTTGGACCTGACGGCTCACTGTGATGTCGATGTTTGAACTCGTGTTGTGCTCAGGAAGTCAGGGACTCCACAACTGCTGCTGTGAGGATTCACAAACACAAAGGAGTGGCAAATTCATGAAAATGAAACGAATGAGGTTAATACAGCCTGTTTTATGCAGAAATCCTTGAGGATGACATTTGTTGTGTTGCACGATAATGTAAATGAAGAGGAAAGCCTTGCTTCAAGACGTCTCTGAGAGAGGCAGGCACTGTGTTCGTAGAAAAAACAGCAGGTCTGGGATCAGATTCCACCTTGTCTTCCCTAATCACAGACAGAATAGACTACAAAGCAAAACAGACCTAGAAATATCTCTCATATATAATGTTTCTTATTGTTAGAAACTTCATTAATACGGCACAATATATAATTCTCTCATTTTTATTGTCTTGGCGTAGTTTGGTGCCTGAGCTCATGGACTTGCTGTATTCTGTTTTCCAGACTCCGATCTGCCAATGACACGTGACCCTGGCTAAAAGCATTGAAGAATTGAGCCTCAGCCCTTTAGGTGCCAGATCTGTCTCAAAGACAGAAAGAGAAGACGTCTCATCACCATTCAGATTCCATAAAAGCAATTAGCTTAACGGCAACTGTGGTGACAAAGCTTTGGCTCACTTAGGAGATGTGAACCGCCCTACTGTGATTTACCTCAGACTGAGAGGACACCTTGGGAATTTAAGTTGGCATACTTTTTTAAAAGTTTGAAGTAAACAACTCTTGCTCATTAACTTTACTCTTGCCCTCAGTTACGCAATGGACTCTAACTAAATAGAAGTCTTACTGAAGACTGGTTGGGTTTCATTCTGCTCCCTAATTCCCTATGACGTGATTCAGGACATTGTGAACAAATTTAAGTTCTAGCGAGAGCCTTGATACTCTAAAGTTTGGGGCACTGATGACTCATTTACCTGTGACCAGGCTGTGTCACAATTACAAGGTTTGTGCATTAAATATATAGCTGGTATTTATCAACATTGTTGTCCACCTTCATTGTAGATGTAAAAAGTACACTGCCATTAAGAAAAATGTGCTTTTCTTGATTTTTTTAATAATGACAATTTAGACATTAAACATCACACAGCAAAGCACAAAATTATAACAATTTCAATAAAAATGCCTAAATTGCAGAACATAAATAAAGATTTGAGGATACACAGTATATTGGTGCTAATATTGCATATCCAATTGGTTATCTAATATACATTTGTAATATTAATACTAATAATTAAAAAATGTAAAACTTAAGTCTTATGCAAATTTAAAAATATAAATTCTTTAGTGTACAAAATGATGTCGTGGTGCCTGCATTAACTAGAATTTAAAATGATTTCTTTTTTGTGGTTTAGTGTTTTATTATTATTATTATTATTATTATTTCATAATATCAGACATTTATCGGGTATCGGCTTATGAAAATATAGCAGCTTATTGGTATTGTCCAAAACTTTTAATTGTACTTAAATTGTAACATTTAATTACTTTTACTTTTTAAATGCATTCATTTAATTTATTTATACATAATGGTATAAATAGTTACATTTTAAATTAATGTGAGCCTTTTAGCAATTAAAAGCCATGACATGAAAATAATTATTGGCTTATTTGTATCGGCTAGAATTTTAATATTGTTTCATCCCTATTCCCTAGCCTTTTATCTTCAACTAAAACACAAATTCCTTTGTAATATTTAAAAGTTTGCTTAATTGTTTACCTGTCATGCATTTTAGGGAATAGGGATGAAAGATCACAAAAAGAAATGACTTTAAATACTTAAGAAGGAGTGGTGACATTTCTAGTAAGTAAATATTGTTATTGCTGTAGTTTCATGGCAGGTGCATTCTGGGAATTTCTGGGATGTGAACATTTCTCTGCATTGGAGTGATCTGGACAACGGGACGGCCTCAAAAATGGCTGACTCCCTGAGCAGCACACTACTAAACTAGGGAGCGGATTGAGACGCAATGGGTGCGGGACGTATTCGGATCCTTTCCTTCTCTTCTAATTCTTTCTCCTTCATTTTCACTTACTTTCTCCTTCATTTGCTCTCAAGTCATTTGTCTCATTACTCTAATTAACAGAGCAGTTCGCCATCTTTGTGGGGGAGGCCTGACTTATTTAAAGGCCTGATTGTAATGAGGAGATGATGGTGGTGAAGGAGCCATTTATACAAGATGAGAAGGAAGGTGGTCTCGGCTATTTTGAGTACCAACCCATGCCCACAAAACCTGCCAATTAGCTTAAGTGGCCTCCCAGCGAGTTGGATTAGTCCTGTACCTTTCTGAGAGAGTGAGAAAAGCACTTTCTTATCCAAAAAAAAGTGTGAAACTTGGTTAAGCTTCCGTGCTCCAATTGCAGGTCTGGTTGCAAAATAGCATGTTACATTACAGACGCCCACATACAGATGTATTCTGTGTTGCGGTCAAGTGACTGTGCAACACGACTGCTGTTTTTCTGCGCTTTCTACCTGTTGTGTTGCAATGTACTTTTGTTCTGCCAAGCTGGCTGCCTCTGATAAGTTTTCTTCGCTTTTATTCTGTTCCATTTATTCTCACTTTGGCCACATTGTTTCTCTTTAAGGGTGCTACATCTTAAAAATAGCCAGTGTTTGTTTCGATCCCGTGTGTGAAATGCGTGGTGAATGTTTTGACCGGATTCCAAAAAAGTGGTTCCCACAGTCTTCGTGCCGCAGGCAGGACAGACAGCGTGTATCGATCAGGGTGTAAAGCGGGGTTTCGCCAGAGATTAATACTGTGCTCAGCAGAGCTCATGAAGTTGTTAACAGTGTGGAAAAACCGGTGTGATCAGCCATATTGGCAGCAAAGGGCAAGGCCACTGATTAAGTGAGTGAAGTGCGTTTCACAAGCTCACTCTGGTTCCCACATCAACTTTGTATCATGTCTGAATTCTTCCTCCAAAGAAAATTTAGTTTTGCTCCTGAATGAGCCTGTGTTGGGGAAGTAACAAACTAACTTTTGCATTTTTCAGCACTACTAACTTTTTGAGTAGTAAAGTTTTTTTATCAACAAGTAGCAGTGTGATGTGATAAAATGCTACAGATTCATAGCATTCTAAACCCCCCCCACCGCCACTTTTTTGTGAATATAAAAGTATTGTGCATGCACATCAGAGTATACAAATGTGCTCAAACATGCTTTATGATTTATGCCTAAACATGAAAAAGTCTGATTTGTCACTCAGATAGTTAATAATTTTGCTGGTTCATTAACTTGATTGATTAATTTATGGTCCTTTTGTAGTCCACGTTTTGTTGCTATATACAAAATTAGATTAGAATATTTGTTATAATAATCTTAAAAATTATATTTAGTTAAACACTTATGTTGGCCACTTTGTTCTTTTTTTCAGGTATGTAGATTTTGATGTTTTCTAGTTTTATTTATGATATGAAGTGTGTTTACTGATGGTATTAAGTTTTAAATTTTGTGTTGGTGGCATTAAGGGTAAATTAAAGGTGTGTTTCTGCCAAAAAAAATACTG